TTTCCCGGGCCACCCCCCGGTTTCCCCCCCCCCCGCCCCCGCCCCTAGCGTCTCGCCACTCCTCCATTCCCAGGCGCCAGGGTAGCGACCAGACCCCGCGAGCGAATAAAGGAGGATGGGCGGGGAGACTTTCCGACCGCTTTCACCTCGGAGCGCGTGATGCATGCCGCCTATGCCGCTGTACAACTCCAGGACACGCAGGGGCTCCATCGCCACGCCGCCGCCACCGCCACCCAGGAGCTAGGCCTGCCGGTCCCACACTCCTCCTCCCTCCGCCAGCGCCGCTCCTTCCGCCTCTGGTTCCGCGGCTTTTCAGTTCCCCCTTATCCTGCTGCTCTGGAGTCAAGAGTTCATCCCCTGCAGCCTGGGCCTGGGGCTGACAAGGGCCAGCGGGTGAGGCGGTGGGGGGTACAGAACAGTAAGGCCTCCCAAGTCAATAGCGGCCTCTCTATTGCCTGGTTTACCCTTCATCTTCTTTCTTTGGTGTTTTCAGTGAGCTTGAGTAGAAAAGAAACCCGAAGCACAGTACAGAGGTGAAAATTGCCTTCTCTTCAAAGTGAACTAACACTGGTTAGCGCCCCGAAATTGTCATTTTTCAGGCAGGCTGCTTTTCCGGCCATTGGGAAACCGAAGCGTTCAAACATTGTTCGGACTAGACTGGAGCATGTGCGTGGTGGCGTGCTTATGCTGGAGTGATGAAGAAAATGTCCTCAGGGGAGGTCTCAGAATCACACATACAGACGGAATGCACGTGCAACAGGGCCCCGGGTGCGTGCTAATGATACAACAATGCTTGCAGTACTTATTAGTGGAGCTAATTATATTTTAACGTGGGAAATGCTCTCACAGAGGATATGTTGTGAATGTAAGATTATTCGTGGGCCTCCCAGCATGAAGACCTTGATGGTCCGGCAACCAAATTGTTCAAGGCTTGATTATAAACTAAGATAAGGGACCCATATGCGGGAAAGGAAATGTTCTCATTGTGAAAAGTGTCCTTCTGTTTGTTCCCAATACAGCCTCTGGTTAATTTTGGGGAGGGGGAAATTTGGGGTACCACTTATGATAACAATAACTATTTTGTTATAAATTTAGCACGCCTGCTAATGTAATGCTGTTAACAAAAGCATAAGTATTGTATCAAAATTATATAACATCATTCAGTGTGTATGGGATTAACTTTTTAAACTGTAAATGTACATGGGCCTTTAAGTATTTTGGGTTTTTATTTAGTTTGTGGTTTTTTGTTTTTTGGGTTTTTTTTGTATGCCAGAAGGCTTGAGAGAGAAAAAGAAAGCCCCCCTCCAGCTAGGTCTGGTCTCACCACAATCATTTTTGCTTCGTTCATACCCTGAGGATCTTGGGCATGTGGGCTAGTGAGCACTTGGAAGAAGCAGGACTTGAATGATGGTGGGCCATGTGGGAGTAGGCTTCCTCTGCACAGTGCTTAATGACTGTGCTGTGGCTGTCCCCCTCCCCCAATTTGGTTTTTATTCATCGCTTATTTCAGATAAGAAGGGGCGTATGCTAGAAAGATACCAGAGAACAGAGTTCTAGCCTCGCCATTGCAAGTACCTGGCTGTGTGACTCTGAAATGAGCCTGGCTTCCTCATCCATAAGTAAAGAGAAAGGAAGAGGGGGAGATGGTTGCTGACGGCCTTACAGTTCCAAGGTTCAGTGGCTGAATTACTATGTGGAAGAAGAATGAACCCCAATTTGATCATGTTACTTACCTGTTCAAATTAAAATCCCTAAAAAGATCATTTTTGCTACTTTTAGCAAATGTACTCTTAAACCAATTCAACTTATGGAAATGATAAGTATACGAACATACATAATACATGAAACAAACTGTTTAAATATTTATTACATAATTTTAGTACCATCAATAAATATCAATGCATAAAATACAAAAAGAACAATATATTCACAGTGATTTATATACAATCGACAATATGTTTTTAAAATCTAGAATTTGTTCAGCATTTGTTTTAATAAATCAAAATAAATATGGCCAAGGAGCTTATCCTGTAGGGGACAGACAAGGTATACATGTGGCAGAGTTATTAAAAATACCCACCTGCTGAAAGGAAGGGGCTAAAACCCTATCCCCACCCAGGCTGATAACAAACTACTCACCCTGATACATATTTAAGGGTCTTCACAATATAGCCCAAGCTTACTTTTCTTCCTAACCTTTGTTTTCTTCTCTGCTTGAACTCTGCTAATAAATGAAACTGTTCAGTATTCCCTAAACATACCTCTCTACTCTGTTTATGCTCCTTGCTGGTGCTCTTCATCTTGCCTGGAAATCTAGCCTTCTCCCAAACCGATATTTCATGTGGAACCTTCTTTCCAGACTCCCAGGCCAGATATTCTGACTTAATTCTTCAGTCTTCCCTCATCTTCTGAAATACAGATCCACCTATTCCTGTCCTTAAATCCTTTTGGTTCTTTCTAGCCCAATTTTCACCTCACGTGTGCCATGTCTTTATATATTGTTTGCTCTCTCATGAAAACTTTCTCCATAATCATCATTTACATCTATCTCCATGGAAGCTTCTAGAGATGTTATGCAGTGTCTTCCATGCACAGATCATATGATTTAAGGGGACTGAGTATTGATGTCACAACAGGGAATAGCTGAAGAGGAAGAGGATAAAACAGAAAGAAAATATATATTGATTACTTTTTCCCAAAGCAAATCCTGAATGTACATATGAGAGAAAAAAATGTTTTCTAGCCCCACGGTTTCCCATAAAGTTATTTCTAGTGCTATGTCTGTTAGTGCTTATATTCTAATTATAGAAACTCCATATTTTTTGAAAATAGAAATAGCAACTTTGGTATATTCAATATTTTCTTTTAGAACACAGAAAATGCATTTCAAAACAAAAAAACATATTAACACCTGGAAAATAAATATGCATGTGAAAGCACGCATGAAATAATTGAGACAGAATATTAAGGGTTGTATTAAAATAGTAATCGCACAATCAATCGAAAGTCTCATTGCATAACTTGACATCAGAAATGTTCTTCCTCTCTGTCATTGCATTAATCATTAATAACCAACTGCTACGGTTTGAATCTGTCCCCCAGAAAGTCACGTGTTGGGCTTGACTGTGTTGACTGTATTGTAAGGGAATGAAGTGAAACTGTACTTCATCGTGTCCTAGGGTAAGGCCTAGTGGGCGGGGATTGGTTCATGGTGATGGCGCCATGGAGGCATCAGTTTTGTGAATAATGATCTCTTGCAAGACCTAGTGAGTTCCTGCTCTCCTGAGAAGGTGTGTGTTAGTTCTCATGCGAGCTGGTCATTATAAAGGAGAGACCAGTCAGGGGCTTGCTCTCTCTACGTGTGCCTGCCATCCTCTGTGCTTTCCTCCTTTATAATCACTTAAAATCCAACTCCTTTTGGATTTTCTCACTGCACTGATTTTTAAAAACTCCCCTTCCCCCTAATTCCTACAGCGAATTGGGTGGTGGTGAAGAATACAAGCTTGAGAGTCAGAATACAGATAGAAACCACAGGTCTGCCACTTCCTACTTACGTGACTTAGGACAAGTCACTCAGCCTGTCTGAGGCCAAGCATGCTTCTAAAATATGTAAATAATAGGACATGTGGTTACTATGAGGATTGGGAGTGCTAAGCTTAGTGTCTAACAATATACCAATAAATGTACGTTTATTAAATAGTATCTATATAATGACATCTTCCAAGAGATACATTCTCAATGCCTCCCACTGTGTCATATGGCATGATTCAGACCCTTCATGTAAATCATGCTCCAGTGGGTGAGCCATGAATGAACACTGGGTCCTGAACATGGCCAGATCAGCATACTGTAGAGTGGTCCAGATGGCCACAACATCTAAAGGCTCTAGGGGAGCTCAGATTTACAGGGGGCCTTCAGGAGGAGCATGATCCCAGACCAAGGTGGAGCAAAGACTGGAAGTCAGGAAGCCTCAGGCACAGAAGAACGGGAAGTCAAAGAAGAGACAGAAATCCTCATAAAAAAAAAGACGTACCCCTTCACTATTAACTCCCAAAAAGATTTGGATAGCTCTGGAGGTGGGTCTATGAGTCTGGCAATCTTCAGGGAGCAATTTTAAGCGATCTTAGCCAGGATGCATGTGTTGGGGAGACCAACATGGGAAGGAGGGGAATCTTTTAATAGCATTTAGTCATTTATTGACTCTCATGTGTCAGGCACTGAATACATTTTTAATTAAAAATGTTAAAAAGTGAAAAAATGTGTGATCCATTTCAGATCATAAAAGTGCCAATAGTCAAGAAAAAAAAAAGTGGGCCGGCAGGTGGCGTGGTGGTTAGGATGTCAGACTCGCACATGGTCAACCACAGTTCAAGTCTCATACCTGGCAGCTTGTTTTCTCACATTCCTTCTCTCTCTTTCTCTCACTGGGCAAATTATAAATAAATAAATGAATAAATAAATCGATGAATAAATAAATTTAAGAAAAATAGTTACCTTCTATTCCCAAAGCATGGGACTATTTTACTAATTTCATCGATTCTCTACAGCTGTGTGTCCAGTAGGGCAGCTACTAGCCACATCAGGTAAGTTAAATTTAAATTAACTTAACATCACAATTTTAATTTGTCATTCACACTAGGCATATTTCTTTCTTAATTTTTTTTTGGAAAGGTTTTTGCTGTAAGACACATGCACTCACCAGACAAACAGAGAGACAGAGAGACAGAAAGCAAGAAATCACCCCCCGGGGAGATGGCCACAGAGCAATCCCTTCTCCTCCATTCTCTGCTCAGGATCTTGGGCACGCATGCACACATGCCCGGCGTGAGTTTAAGCCACCAAGTCTGGGACTTGAACCACGGTCGGCTACCTGAGAGAGTTCAGCGACATAGACATTACACCAACTGCTGGTCCCCACAACTAGGCATATTTTAAGTGTTCAGCCACAAGTGCCTGATGACTCTAGTTAATGCTCAGCACAGATACCAGATATTTTAATCATCACAGAAGGTTTCACTGGGCAAAGATTCTCTTCAATGATGGTCTCTCAAAGTCTCAACCTTTGTGAGTAATCCATAAATAAAGGAACAGTATTGAGGGACCAGCAGAAGGCATAATAGTTATGTCACTGGACTCCCACGTGGTCAACCGTGGTTTGCATCCTAGACTCGGAGACTGAAAACCCATGCTGGGCATGTGTGCCCAAGATCCAGAGAAGAGAATGGTGGAGAAGGGATTGCAGCATGACCATCCCTCCTGGGGGGTGATTTCTTGCTTTCTGTCACTTTATGTCTCCAGCAAGCATACGCAAAAATCTCTCTAAAGGGAAAACGAAAAAGAAACAGTACTGAAATGTACACCAACTGCTTAGTTATCGCATATTGAACACTGATTTAAAATAAGTGCTCCCAGGGGACCAGCAGTTGGCATAATGGCTATGTTGCTGGACTCCCAAATAATTGACTGCGGTTCGAATCCTGGACACAGTGGCTTAAACTTACGCCAAGCGCGTGTGCATGAGTGCCCAAGATTCTGAGAGGAGAATGGAGGAGAAGGAACTGTGGCATGGCCATCTCCTCTGGGGCGTGATTTCTCCCTTTCTGTCTCTCTGTCTCTCTCGGTCTTTCTGGCAAGTGCACATACCCTATAGCAAAAACCTCTCCAAAAAAATAAAATAAGTGTTCCCAGACCAGCAAGTGGCATAATGATCAAGGTGCTCAAGTCCAGGACCTGGCAGCTTGAAAATCACACTGGTGACTGCATGCATGCCCAAAATCCAAGGAGGAAAATGGAGAAGAAGAGATTGTGGCATGGCCATTCCCCCCACCACGCCCCACAGAAGGTGATTTCTCACTGTCTGCCTCACTGTCTCTCTGATGAGTGCACATGTCTTATGGCAAGAACCTTAAAACAAATAAATAAAGTAAGTAAGGACTCCAGAAATATGCAAGAGAAAGGAAATAATATAGAAGCAAACATTGTAGCAAAACACTGTTCCTCTTTGCCTAATGTGTAGTCACAGTATTGATAGACTGTCACAAAGGAAAAGACACAGGAAATAGCAGATGTGTTCCATCAGAGATGTGATAAACTTTCAAGAAAAAAGAACAGATGGAAAGTAAACTTCATAGTCATTACACTAACTGCTGGTCCCTTGCTTGAGGTTATTTCTGAAATTCCTAAATTAAAAGTCTCCTGTTACAAATTTTAAAGATTATGTTGTAGTTAAATTAAGGGTAATGGAATTCTCTCTTGAAAACTGTTTTCATAAGCTCACAGAAAGTTGAAACTCAAAGAACTATTTGCCCAGTGTTTTTCAAACTATTTTTAGAAATAGAACCTTTTGTTCAAAAAAAAAAAAAGGGAACGAGCAGTTAGCATAATGGCTATGTCACTGGACTCCCACATAGTTGACCGCGGTTCGCGTCCCAGACCCGGTGGCTTAGAACTCATGCTGGGCGCGTGTGCATGCGTGCCCAAGATCCCGAGAGGAGAAGGGATTGTGGCGTGACCATCCCCCCTGGGGGGTGATTTCTCACTTTCTGTCTCTATGTCTCTCTCTGTCTGTCTGGTGAGCGCACACACCCTATAGCGAAAACCTCTTAAAAAAAAAAAAATCTCACCTAAAACCAGGACAGAGAAAAATGGTCAGGACCAGCAGACGACATAATGGTTACATCGCTGGACTCCCACATAGTCAACCACAGTTCAAGTTCCAGACCCAGCAACTTAAAATTCACGCTGGCTGTGTGTGTGTGTGTGCCCAAAATCCCAAGAAGAGAATGGAGGAACTGTGGCATGGCTATCACCCCTACAGAGTGATTCCTCACTTTCTGGCTCTCTATCTCTCTCTGGTGAGCA